GAGCAAAATGTGGCAGTCATACTAGCCTTTGCTAGTGGTAAAGCTTTACTTGACCAACTGAAGTGGTTCACTCAAAGAGAAGTGAGCATAGACTTATTTTTAACTTAAGCTTATGTAGTTTTACTTAGAGAATCTTGAGCTTGAATCGGCATCTAAAGTGGGACCGAGCAAGATTATTTTTTGTGGGTTTGCATTTGACTCGTGCTGGTAGCCGTGGGGGAGAGAGACACCACTCGGCTCATTTCAAAAATCAAAGGAAATGATAAAAAAAAACTTTGAGTAGATGGCCCATATGCTTTGTGGTAGTGTTTAGGAGTTCAATCACGGGGCAGCTACAACAATTACGTGAAGGCGCACATTACTCGAACTCACTACGACATATATAGGCATACCCTTATGGACAAGTAATAGAGGGTTCTCATATGCATCACATGGTGACGGGCAAAGTATTATTGATCTTGGGCGAAATAAGTGAGGAGAGCACTTATCTTTGCATTCGCCAAGTTCAGTGCACAGAGATTTGAAATAAGGAGGTGTCCCAAATTCCATCGGAATAATAACAATGACATGTCGGAGCTCCATGAGTTGAACAAATATAGGGACCAAGCCAAGCGAGTGTCTAAATACGAAGTGCTTTGCCATAGTCGAACATTTTCTAGATCTTAGGACCTTTTGATACATTGATTTCGGGGAAGTAAGTGGTCATTCTCGTTGGCTTGGTGACACGATTGAAGGCCCGCTATGGTGCAAACTTCCTTCTTGAATCTAGGGGAATTAGGGGCCCGAGTGAACTTTGGATGTGGAATCCATAAGTGCACAATGGAAGGCTTCACTACTCAGGTGCATTGTGATAATCTTTAGTCATAAAAGAAGCTAGATCCCACATGAGCTGAACTAGTAATGACCAGTAGATATCAACAAAGGCATGTCAACAAAATGTAGATTAGGTGAAGTAGAGACCGAGGGGTTTCTAGCAGAATAATTAGCAAGAGAGGCCGAAAATGCCTCAGGTGGTCTATGCTGAGACTGTGCATTATTTTACTGGTAGAGATGACAGAACTTTGGTAGAAGAACATTACTCACAAAAGCCCAAATACTGGTACTAAAAAAATGGCGTGTAGGGAAATGTCAAACAAAGGACCATTAACATAAAACTCACAAGACTCTATGAAAGAAGATTTTTGGTCAGTAGGTTCACTGAAGACATATAGTGGGACCTTGCAAAAGTATTGTAGTGTTTTCACTTTTGAGTTTGAAAGGCAGACCGATCGAGTGCTGCATCCTGTCTATATGAACGATCGAAGAGTTCGGCAAGATCCAATAGAACAAGGCACTTTAGCTGCTTCAAGGGTCGAGCAGGTCTCGCGAACTGAATGATGCGAAGATTTTGAGGGCACACTTACTTGTTTCCCATAGACGGTGCTAAATTGTGCAGGCAGAAATTCGCACAATCACTAGAATGCTGAAGTTGTTCCCCTAATCTTTGAGTATCATCCAATCCATGAGGTGCAAAATGAAAGAGGGGTTAGAGTGACCCCGACGTTGAGCCAGGGGAAGCTCCTTTGATGCCTAAGTCAGTACTGCAATTAATACATCAATAGGCTAATGTGTAAAATCAGGAAAATAATATAAGTGTGTGTGTTGAGTATGGAGCCGAGGTGCTCATACTTGAGGCCTCCCTACCTTTGGGTCTTCACCCGTCTTTATAGAGGTGGTGGAGAGCTACTTACCGTCTCCTTGAGTTGACACCTTCTTGAGATTTGTATCTTTGCAGGTCTTGAAATTGTGCTGGATTTCAATTGGTAAATAAAGAAGGCTGGCAGCTTTGTCTTGGGAAGATAAACCATGGGTCTCATTATGATACACCCATGTGGTGTGGGGCCCTCTCCATTGATACAAAATATGGTCCATCATTCTGGCAAAGCCTAGTTCTTTTATTGTAGTTTTCATAATTTCCGGAAAAATGGTACCTTTTGAAATTTATGGGCTTGTTAGTGTTTATTATGACAGTAACCATACTAATGTCCTCCAGGAAAGAAATTCATTTCAATAAGAAGGGATTTCGTGTGAAATATTCGAACATGCCTTGGTGGCTTACTTCTTTTTGTGTATTCCTTTAATGAGTTCTAACTTACCACCATGGTTACCACTGGTTTTCTGAGCTTGTTTCTGTAGGAAATTGATGCTCTATATTGGTTTTGAAAGGCCGATACGAAAGAAAAGAATCTGAGTTCTTAACTTTTTATATGGATTTATGGAACGTGCATGTATTTACATAAAACTCACCCTGGGTCTGGAGTTTTCCTTTGCCTTCCAAGGCTTTTGATGCAGGGATTGAGTAGTGGAGTATATAGTAAATAATACCATAGAATAACTTAAGATACTTCAAGGTTTCTGGTTAATTTTTGAAAAAGAATGAAAGTAGAATCACAGAATCTTAGATTTGTGTAGGGAGCATACATTTTTAGAAATAGGACAAGGAATTTTATTTAGTACTCTATCTCAATTAATTTGGGACTAGGCAGCACGGCAATATTTGCACAGAATGCTATTTGTTGATCATGAAAAGCTGAGGTTGAAGAAAAAAGGAAATAGTTGGAAGATGCAAGTAATTGAACTCATCAAATGAATAGGCATATAGATTGTGCGCTGGAGTTCTCAGCTTAGGCATCAGGTGAAAACTTCAACCTGAAAGGTCCTTATTTCACGGTGTTAGTGAAACGACTCCCTTATTGCTATTGGAAATGTTGTTAGAAACGATTGCATAATGTTAACTGCATGGTGGAAAAATTTCGGTGAACTGTTGAAGTTTATTGGATTATTGGGGGTTCCAAAATCGGCAAAAGTTGTCTTTTAGTTATTATGCTGCAAAGCAGAAGATATGAATAATTATTTAGTTTTCTTCCACATATTTTATTGCTTGAGATTGGTTTTAAGAGGATACATCTTATCACGCAGGAAAAGTGGAAACACATGCTGGGCTTTTCAAGCATAATTAGAGTTCTACTTCATGCCTTTCTTTTCTGTCTTAAGCAAATTGTTATTCTTTTTTTTTGTTCTTACCTCTTCTCTTTGTAATCTAACATGTTTGTAGTGTGGATATTGATGGCTCACTTGGGGATTCAGATGGTCTGAAGGAAACTGGCTCAAAAAAGCGGTAAACAATTCATTTCTACCTGTCGTTTGATTTTTGTGTGCACTCAAAGTGGTTTAGTACATGGGTGAAACCTCAGGTAAATATGTTGGTGATGTGAGGACTTAATTACAAGCGACGTGGATGTAAGAGTATCATCAATTTGCATGTATACTTGCTAGCCCTGGTTGCTTGACATCTCAAGGGACAGAGACAGTGGGCCACCAGGAATGACCGAGTGGCATGTACACTTTTTTATGGTATTAGAGGCTTGTGTTTAAGGGTGAATTTCACTGCAGCACTTATAATAAGATGGTATACCAGGAAAAAGAGTCCTACAGTTATTAAAAACGAATAATCACAGCAGCTATAGTTTCCTCAATCCTCAGTAATGCCTGACTCAAGTTGCAAGTTGCAAGTTGCACTTACATTACCTTTTAAAGTTATATTAACTTCAAGGCATCTTTTTTTTTTTTTTTGATGATATCCAAGATCTAGCTGGATTATTTTGCAGATTTTCCAACTTTACACTTGGATCAAGAACACATTGGAACTGTTTTGTTTTAGACTATATGAAGTAGTGAAGCTATCATTGGATGCAATTCATATCAGAAATGCCAGTAGTGAAAGGAATCTCAAACCCTACTTACCCTCTTTCCACTTGCCTGTTTGGATTCTTATTGCAGACAAAGATCTGAATTATGCAGCGGATCAAGTTCCAAAGCTTGCAGGGAGAAGATGCGGAGAGATAAGCTAAATGACAAGTGTGCTCTTGTTCTCTTCTCCCCCTCTCTCCCCCTCTCTATCTCTCTCTCAGCCAATTTGTCATGCTTTCTAGGTTTGTGGAATTGGCTTTTCTCCTTGAGCCTGGTAGGCCTCCCAAAACAGACAAAGCTGCTATTTTGGTTGATGCTGCTCATATGGTGACTCAGTTGAGGGGTGAAACCCAGAAGCTGAAGGACTCAAATTCGAATCTCCAGGAGAAGATTAAAGAACTGAAGGTAAGCATGTGTAGATTTTTCTGATACATATTTAAAAGGATAGAGCATTGCCTACTTTTGTGATCTATACACCTTGTACTTATGTAGGCCGAGAAGAATGAGCTCCGGGACGAAAAACAGAGGCTGAAGGCCGAGAAAGAGAAGCTAGAGCAACAACTAAAAGCCATGAATGCCCAACCTAGCTTCCTTCCCCCTCCTGCCATCCCTGCTGCATTTGCTGCTCAGGGCCAAGCTGCAGGCAACAAATTGGTGCCTATTATTAGCTACCCAGGAGTGGCCATGTGGCAGTTCATGCCACCTGCTGCTGTTGATACTTCACAGGATCATGTGCTTCGCCCACCAGTCGCCTAACGAGGCAGCCCAAGCTTACAATGGGTGTGGTCCTATTGTTCATTTAGTTTTTCACTGTGTGACTTTGTTAGTTTTTGATCATTTAACTGGATTTGGAAAGACATTTGCTATCTCAAAGCTTTAAATGAGTTGATGCTGGTGTTCACTTGTAAATGTCAATAAGTAAACCAGGCAGCTCTTGTTTTTATGACTGTTTGATGGGAATTTTTCGGCATTCCCAACACACACACAAAAAAACCCCAACCCCGAACATATTGTTCATACCAGATGATAATAATTCGACTAGCTCCTGTTTTGAGTTGAATTTATACAAATTAAATATGAATTTGGTTTATATATAATTTAGATCATATTATAATTGTACTAAAATATATTGAGAAATTCATATTTAAATCGGATAATTGGTCAAAATTTCATGAAAATTCATATTGGTTAACCAATTTAGATTCGGATTAAAATACAAACTATTCACGGGCCTACATTTTACCCGCTTTATAGTATATGGTATTGCTGGGGATGTGAGGCTGCTAATCTCCCCTCATCCACTTCCACCTTCCCTGTTCCTCTCACTTCAACTACTACTACCTCTTCTGCTCAAAAATGGCTTTCATTTCCATCAAACTCCATTTACATACCCTTCAAACGTCAAAACCTCCATCCCTATTCCCGCCAACTGAAACTCCCAACCCATCTTTTCCATTCCCTACAAAACAGAAGAATCGCCAGTCTCATCTCTTTATCTTCCATCCAAACCCTCTGCACAAAGCAAAAGTTCTTCGTTTTTCCCTCAAATGTTCTCTCTCTTCTCCTACCCCACCCACCTCCAAAGAAGAAGCCATCCTTCAAGCCAAGACCTCCCTCTCAACCACCTTAGAGAAGCCACTCAACAACCCCAAACTCGCCGGAAAACTCAAGAAACTGAAGCAGCCCAGGTTCCGGGTCGAAATCCCAGTCATCGATGACTCACCGGGTTCACTCTCTCAGCTCGCTCTCGACGTCTTTGGAGACATACCCATCAAAAGAAAAGGCTTACCAGTCAAGATTTTAGTCCTCTGGCCCAACCCCAACTTAACAGAAGCTGCCATTATGGCATTTGACTCTCTCTCTTCAAACACGGTTGAACATAATGATTTTTCGTCAGTTACCAATGAGGACACCAGATTTTTGAATTCTGCTGATGTGGTAGTGTTTTTGGCGCCTGAAGCTTCTCAGTTGGCAGTTATGAAAACCGTTACTGACAGTTTATATCCAAAGCCAGTGGTAATTTTCAACCCCCAATGGGGATTTGAGGAGGAGAGCAGTTTTGGTGAGTTGAGAGGCTTTGTGGGCTCATTTGAGGTGGTGTATTCATTTGTGGGGTTGGAGGTTAGAGGGGTTTTGAGTAAGAGAAAAGGTATGATCTTCAAATGTGTTAGAGATGGGGTTTTGAGTGGTGAGGGGTGGAGTGTGTTGGTTGAAGAAGGAGGAGAGTTGAAAGTGGCTTCAAGGTTCAAGGAGCGGCCATCGATCACTGAAGTTGAGAATGTTTTATATAACTTAATGGCAATTAATTCGCCAATTACCAAGTCTGCAAAGTTTTTTAAGGAACTGGTGTCAAATGTAACCGGAAAGAAGAAGTAAGTGCGATTGGAAAACTGAAATGTTCCTCTCAAATTTTGTTCAATGATATGTGTCTGATGAAGATGTTGAGAAGCTTTTTGTTTAAATGCTTGACTGAAATCTGTTGAACTAAACTCTTGTTAACCCTGTGTAGTTTTTCTTTTATACATTTACTGTTAAATTGATGTAAGTGAAACATGGTTCTGTTTCTTTATGCATGTCTAGACTTGTATAATAAAAGAATGAACCACAATTAGAAAAGGGTGAATTAATCTTATTTTATTTCTCTATCACAGTCATTATACTGTTCCTTGGCGTATATTGCAATTAGTGCTTGATATAATAATCTCTTAGTTTCTTGGTATGTATTATTTTGGTTTTCGCAAAGCTTATATGTTTCTCGATTGTTGTCTCCAGCAAGGAATCAAACATAAGATTTCAGAAATCGCATATTATCTGTACTAGCACTTGCATAAAAACTTTCAGGTTGAAAAATATAATATCCTTACTGGAGAAAAAGGTATAATACTTTACAACACAGAACTCCTAGCGAGAAAGCAGAGTTCATAAAACTCAAGCATGGGGATGTTATCATCATGCATCCAGAATTGTAGCGACCTTGAATTTGTGAGAACTCTCCCCTGTATTTCAACTTTCTCACATACTAGCAAAAGGGTCAACATCTTCTCTGAGTCTATTCTCGGATTCTCTAATATGACAGATTTTGATGAATTCATCAGCAAAGTTGACATACTTGCTCCATAGTGGCCGAAGTTGGGGGAATGCAATATCCAGCCAAGGCTTTGCTCGGCCATTGAAGTGGATGACACCGGCATTTTTTGCATCTGTGATGCTTGTGTTATCCTGGTACCCAAGTCCCAGCATGTGCCAGAAGGGATCAATAATGTGCACATGACCATGGAATGCAATTAGACCTGGAGGTAACGTCCCTAGTTGCCACAAACTTAGATCTGATTTCAGGTTCTGCAAATGGGAAAGAAATTATTCAGCAGCCCAACAATTTTTACTTTGGTTCTTTCCAAGAAGTCAGATGTTGTTCAAGACATGATATAATCAGAATGCATTTGGCTTTCCCTACTAATTGAGGTTACTTTTAGGGAAAGTATGGCCTATTTAATGTCGTGAGTAAATTACCTCATCAAGCCAGTAATGGTAAGTTTGGCTTATGTTGGTCTTCCTCCAAGCTTCTAGATCAAAGACGTTCATGCCATAGGCCCATGCACATTCGCTTGGATCAAAATTCTTTGCTATCAAAGGATGAGAAAAATTCAGGTAATTCTTGAAAGTCTTTGACGTCACAAACTTATCGTCTCCCCTTCAGATTTCTACTGCGCCATTTACTTTTCCGTTCATATCAAAGTCCCATAGAGGTGAAAGATCAGTTTGAATCACGATATCATCATCTAGGAAGACTACCTTGTCCAGACTAGGAAATAACAGTCAAGAAAATGCATTCACCGAGACCAAGTATAGTAGGCACTATACAGAAATAAAGGATGGTCTTTATTGCAGTGTAGGATATACCTCAGGCAGATGTATTCTGATGTGATTCATGAGTGACTTGTACTTGGGACTGAGAGCTTGCAATTTAGCAGCAATCACATAAGGCTTTTCAGTGTTATTGCCCACAATGACTGATGACCCTCCTCTAAACTGTGACCGTACACGTTGATCATTCTCCATGGCTTCCAATACTGGGACCTTCCCCTTTGTCAACCAGTCAAATTGGTGCAGTCCCTTAACCTCAGTGATTGCAGGCGTTAAAGGATGCAATGAGAACCAAGCCTGCATGGGATTGTAGGTCTTTCTATCTGTGATTATGTGAAGAACAAACTTTTTAGGGTGCAACAAGTTCCGAATGAGTGACGTTGCAACGACAGAGGCAGCAAGAACATTGTCAGAGGCGAGGATGAAGTGGAATAATAGGTTGTCCACTAACGATGGAACAAATTGTGGCGAAGGGAGCTGGAGGCGGGCATTGGCATTGGTAGAGTGCTCGTTTGCCAATCTTAGGGCAAGACAATGAAGCTGCTTTGGTATGCTGCTAGATGCTACATGATGATACAGGTATTCTTGGATTTTGGCTGTTCTAGTCCTTTGTTCAAGTAGGGTGACCTGTGGAAACCAGAGGTCTACTCACTTGATCAGACGTTGAAGACATGCAAACTGAGTGAAGCATTTATTTTCAATGAGAATTTCTTGGATACTAAATTAGTTTGTTGCTAGTATCAGTTACAAAGTTTTGCCGAGGCCTTATAAGATGGATCACATTTTATCCCTTTGTAATAGACTAATAGCTCTGACTTACAAAAACTTACTTGATTATTGGAATCGCATGAAATCTTCAGAACTCTTGAAAACAGAAGTGTGGTATGTAGAGATAGCCAATTAGTCCCAGTAGTAAAGTGTGGTGGTCCTGGGTTTTGAAAATGATCCTTTTTCTGTACTGGATGTACCAAGCGAAAATTTCTAAGTAATTGCAAGCGACAAAATTTAATGTTCACCCAAGTGGGTGAAGAGAAAGGAAAGTAGTACCATAGCTTTAAGCTTGACTGCAAATGTCTCTGCATCTGGTCTACTATCCTTCATTGCAGCAACAAACTCTTCCAGGGATTGAGGAACCTCAGGTTCTTCTAGAACTTGATATATTACTTCTGGGACCTTTCAGAAGCCAGAGAAAATATAGTTAAATAGAATATGTATCAGCACAGAAGCTAAGTGGATGATAAGTTACTGAATAAAAAGAAAAGGGGGGGGGGGGGGGGGGGAGGGGTAGGAGATTACAATGGATTCCAGTCGTCTTCCCAAAATCCTTGGTCTTAATCTTTTCCCCCAAGCAACCTACAATTAGATTAAAAAAACCAGATTTTAATGTCTATACGTCCAAGTAACAATACGTTAACCTATATAGACACGGCAGGAGAGAGAGAGAGAGAATGGACGTATAGTTGAACACTTGTTTTCTCCATCAATGGTATCCACTGATGTTAACACGAAAACAAACCGGAGAAGAAAAGTGAATAAAAAACCATGCGATATGATAATCGTCTAGAGCTAGCCTTCACTTTGACGAACTCCCTAACACCTTTCGCCGGAAGAACTGTCACATGCCGCAAACTTGGCGATATATGAAGCTGCATTTTGATGCAAAAAATTAACAGACAGCACACCACCCACGACGGACCTTGTCGGTCGGAGTTTTTTTTTTTGAACTTTAGATATTCATTTGGCAATCATCGGTGAAGAGCTGAGTTGAATTGCACAGACCCATGTAGGCGAGAGGTGGTAAAAGGAAGGTTTGAATGTTTGTGTAGTGTTGCTATCGCGTACCTAAACTTGCTTAGCATTTAGGTTAGCTATGACGGCTTTTTGTCATAGTATTGTGCCAGAGAAGAAGGGGGTGTTTGAAGGAAAGAGACTTGGGAACTGAGAAGAAGGCTGTGTTTGTATCATATGTTTGGTTTGGCTTGGTTTTGAAGAAGGGACGTTGAGAGTGTTGAGAGAGAGAGAGAGAGAGAGAGAGAGAAGAGAAATAGAGAATGAGAGGGTGTAGGTTGGTGTTGCTTCGTTTGCCTACAGATGAAGTTTCGAGAAATAGAAAATAGATTGGAAACCTCTAACAGAGACGAGGTCTAAATCAGATGTTTTGAATTTCAATCTTGACAATTTATTAGGGTTAGGTAAGAGATTAATTTTTTATGAATACTTTAATCAACCTTTAATCGGACTGAAAAGGGAATTAAGTGAGGTATGCGTAAGTTGGTCCGAACTTGATATTTGGTCTAGACAATGAGGGTAGGAGTCATTTATCTGGTCTAGATAATGCGTAAGTTGTAACCTTTTTTTAGTCCAACATTATTACACAAATAAAAATGATAAAGTTCAAATCTACGACTGTAAGGTCCAACAGTGAGAATGTTAACCTCTAATCATTTTTATTTTCAATTGTCTTGTTTTGGGTTCATCTTGATTACTTGTTAATTTTGAATAACATATTAATCAATTGTATTCCTTAATACTAATCGAACTTATTTATTATAGTGTGTATTTGAATTAACCCGCATAACTCTTAAATAAAAGTTCCAAGGCTTAAATTGCATTAATTCTCAATCCAACAAATCACCCACTGATCCAACATTCTTATCATTTAGAATTCAAAATTTGGATTCTCTTTTAGGATGCCAACCCTGTGGATGAAGAACTAAAGCTGCAATTGTAAAAATAAATAAATAGTTTTGATCGTCTTCTGATTTTATTGTGATTATTGATTGTAAAAATATTCCCCCAAAGTGATTTTCTTTTAGTTGCGGAACGAAATCCGACGCCCAATTGTTGGCTCTAAATAATGAGCCCAATAATAAGCTCAATTCTTCCATAACATAACGGGGCGAGCCGGATTGCACGCAAACTGAGTGAAAAACAAAATTTTTTATACCTCCATATTTTTATTACACAAAAAAATATCATACTGAAAATTTACTTTATATCATAATTATTTTTTCATAAAATAGGCTCAATGTTTATGTTTCAGTCTCACCCCAATCCCACAGAAAAGATTACGGTATTAAAAAAAATTCAATACTATACATCTAAATTTTATAATTTTTGTAAGTTTTGATATAATTATGAATTTTTTTATAATGTGTGGATCATTTTATAATTTTTGTGGGCTAAATTATTTCTTTGCGAATTACCATAAAACTTAGGATAAATTACAATGACACCCTTCTTAGTTTCTAAAATTTTCACTGAACCTCTCGTTGTTTTTAGAATTACACTGCACCCTTTGAGAGTGACGACTTGTCATCAATTCACCATTCAATCAGTGAACCGTTGGTGGAAAACTTGGCAATGATGACGTGAACACAACTAATTCGTGAAATACTCATTTTGTCCCCATTCTAGTAAACTATCCATTTTGTCTAATTAAAAATAGATCTCAATAGATATACAAAAAATATGTATATTTATATAATAAATAAATTAGCAAGTTGAATCTTTATCCCCTATACATTTTACTCCAAAAAAATATCGAATCACTTAATTCTATCACATGTTCAAGCATTTAATATTTAATTAATTTGTAGTTTAATACAACTTTTATTTAATACATTATTCATACACAATAGTGCACACATGTTAAAAAAATTTTTATCGAGTTACGTATTTTGAAAAAATTTTGACGTTATTTTTAAGAAAATAATAGGTAAAAAAATTAATTTTAAATGATGTAAGCAAATAAATTAATTTTAAATTTGGTATAGTAAGATTAATTTTTTGAACACTAAAATCTTATGTTTCATCGTGACTTCAGGCACGGGTTATGACTAGTATACATATACACAGAGATAGCACAGGTTGGCTGGCCAAAAATAAAATCCCCTAAATCAAAATTTGTGAACAAAAACTATTCGCAAATCAAATCATTTGCCAAATATTTATTAACAAGTTATGCAAAAAATTTTCACCAAAACATTTTTCACCAACAATCTTAGAGAATCTACACAAAATTTACTAACAAATATCTGAAAAAAAATTTGCCACCCAAATGAATCAAATGTAGAAAGTGAAATAAAATTGGGAAACAACATAGAAGTATTTGCTAGTTACTTCGCAATATCTTAATTCAAAGTTCTCGCATAATGAATTCTAATTTACATCTCAGAGAGATATTATTATTTGAAATAGGACACTTTAGTCATGTATTATTGTTTGAAATGGGAAATACATGACTAGTCATGTATTATTGTTTAAAATACATGACTAAAGTACTTTTACTTAAACTCAAGACTAGTCATATATTTTCACAAATATATCGAGTTCTTTAGTCTTTAGCAACAACAAAAAGTATTTTTTCTTTTACTTTTTAGAGATCTCAATAATTCTAAGAACTTCATCCCTACAACTGCGAAATTTGGCCTCTCCGATCATAGATATATATATTTTTGTTGTGCTATTTTTGTATGATAAATTAATATAGAGAATTATAAGTTGTTAAATTTAATGGGATTGTTATATTTAAAATTTACATGTTATGGATTATTTTTTGGATTAAACCATTTGGTTAAATGGGCTTGAGGAATCTGATTGTGAGAAATTAGGTTATTTGTATGTCTAAGTTTGATTTACTAGACTTGTATTTATGTTAAAAATTGTTTGATTTCCTAAACTATTTTGATTGATTGGGATTGAATAATCAATTATTTTCGATAAATACTTCTCTGCAAGGAACATAGAAAAAAGTCGAGAGATCAATGGATGAATGATTACTTGACTGCATTTGTTGAGAAAAAATTTTCAAATACCATTTGTGAAAACTTGTTGAAACAATTATGAAGATTTTCAAGAATTTCGATTTTTGCATGTAGTGAATCAATTTATTATTGGGCATTATTTTTTTTTGATACAAAAGTATCTGTTTGATACAACTTTATAGTGAACTTTTTTTGTTGACTCTTTTTGTATGTTAGTTTGATGAAACAATACTTTTATAAAATGGTGTTAATATTCCGAGTTTGAGTATTCATATATTGAGGGATAATATTCCTGAGTTTGAGTATTCATAAATTGAAGATTGCCCCCACTAGAGTTGGATTCTGGCTCCGCCCCTGCTCATACCTCTGATGCTCCCTATGGTCTTACCGTTCCCTTTGTATAACTTGAGATAGTTGTGAATGAAAAGGGATACTCAAATTAAGAGTAGAATCCCGTATATATATCCAAAAATAATACAGAGTGACTTAAACATCCTTGTAGTTTAGGCAAAATATAAAAATCATAGTAAGGGTAAAAAAGGGAAAAGAAATCCTAATAAACCTAGACTATCTATACTCCAACACTCCCCCAAGCTGGGCGCAAAAATGTCAACTAAGCCAAGCTTGACAACGGAGTCCCGAAGAATAGATAGAGTGACAGGTTTGGTAAAAACATCCGCAACTTGATCACTGGTCCCCACAAACGATGGAGTAACAAGACCACTGCTGACCTTCTCCCGAAGAAAGTGAACATCGATCTCTATATGCTTCGTTCTCTCATGTAGTACAGAGTCAGAAGCGAGCTGAATAGCAGATTGATTATCACAATATAATGTGGATGGAGAGGTCACTGAAAAACCCAACTCGTCAAGAATCGATCGTAGCCAGATAATCTCACATGTGCCAAGTGCCAGTGCCCGATACTCTGCCTCTGCGGACGAGCGGGAGACAACTGCCTGCTTCTTGCTCTTCCAAGAGATAAGATGAGTCCCTCGAAAAGCACAGAAACCCGTAGTAGATCGACCATCACATGCTCCCCCATAATCTAAATCTGAATAACAGGCTAGAGAACCGGTCTGAGATCCTGATGCATAAAACAACCCAAGTCCAGGACAAGACTTGAGGTACCGAAGAATATGATAAACTGCATCAAGATGAGGCTGACATGGCCTATGCATGAACTGACTAACTCGGCTGACTGCAAATGAAATGTCTGGCCTAGTATTGGCTAAGTAGATAAGTCTACCTACCAATCTTTGATAAACTGTCGGATCTTTCAACTCCTCACCTTCAGCAGTAAGCTTCAGGTTTGGAATCATAGGTGATGATGCCGGTTTGCACCCCAACATCCCAGTGTCTGAAAGAAGATCCAAAACATACTTTCTCTGAGAAAGAACAATACCTCTGCTTCTACGGGCAACCTCAATCCCAAGAAAGTATCGCAGAAATCCAAGATCCTTCACATCGAAGGCCTTCCCAAGGTCTATCTTGACCTCC